CATCTATGTGTCATGCTATTGTACGAGTAAAATATATATGGTTTTCTTTTTTTCTGTCACAGGGACGAGGTTGTCCATGGCAAACAAGCGTGAGGATCTGCCACACACTTCATTTATTAAACAAAGCATTATTATATATATATATATATAAATAATTCATTAAATATTGTTATACGAATCGTCTAACGATAAAATGATTGGCTTATATCTCTCCATCTATTGTTGAATGTTTGTTAGATGGATGATCATTGTGATTTTTTTGCTATGAGTAATGAAAAATAATTTCAAATAAACATGGAGTTATTTTAACAGACAAGAATAAATCTCCTAGAATAGGTACTGTTAAGATTCTAATAGAAATAAAATTTATTGAAATTAGAGAGTAATAAATTTTAAAGCGTGTTTATATACCATCATGAGAAACCGATGGAGCTTGAACGATTGTAATTGAAGATTGAATAGGACCAATCGATGAACTTGATGACCTAAGTAACATTGCTTTATTTGTAGATGAGGCAATAGATGAGTCTAGAAGGCTGTGTAATATCAGTATCAATATAGATAAAAAGTTTTTTCTCAAACTCAAGAGATGATCTGCCATGCGTTTTCAGAATTCATACACTCAATAATACTTCTTTTTCTCAAGTTTTATCGCATCGTACCGTGTGTTTCTGATTTACGTCGTTTTGCACCATTGGATCTTCGAGCAGTTGAACGTGATTGTTTAGAAATTTTTTCTTTTTTCTTTTCTTCAAGCTGTTTGATGACATCTTCTTCTGTCATTATTTGTCCACTAGGTCGCTTGAGCATCGTTCGTTTTGTAGGTTTGATTGCTTTTTGTTGTAATGATGGTGCAAAAACAGCTTGCAAAGTATCAGTTATTGCTTTAAGTGATTGTTGTGATTGCTTAGTTTGTGCATCTATTGCGACATAATATTAAAAAGAAATATTTGTAATTTAGTATTAACATAATCAGCAACATCACCTTCTTCATCAGATGTATTGAAACCGATTACTTGTAATCCCACTCGTTTACGTTTATTGTTTTTTCGTGACAAAATTGATTTTGGTTGTTTCACTCTGGATGAATTTTCAGCTGGGGGTTGTTTTACAACTTCGACTGATTTTTGAGATACCTCAAGTGATAGATTTCTCATAATATCATCTAGAATGTAATTAATTTTTACAATAAAAATAGTGCAGCCATTTCAATTACTATCTTCATCGGAGGAATCAAAATTTATATTTTTTGATGGCAATTGACGGTGTTTATTTGTTGATGATCCTTCATCTGAAGGCGTTTGTTTCTTCGTAGATGACATCTTGATTGAAAAACTATTGATATATTGATTAGGAACGCAATCTTTGTCTTCATCGGTGTCATCATCAGCATTATGACTACTATTATTACTAATTGTATCTTCCAAAACTTGATCAAGAGCAGTAATAGCATCTCGAGAAGAGGCGAATGAAGAAAAGCCAGGTCGAGACGAAGCCGTAGTACTATGCATTCGAGGATAGTTGTTGTCAATAAAACTATCGTCATCAGAAATTTCAACAACGATGACCGAAGATGAACCATTCGTTTGGTTATTATTGGTAAGAACATTTGCAGATGAATCCTTATTAGATGTAACATTTTTTATAACACGTGAACGATCTATAGATTTTGAATTTAAAGGGAAAACACCAGCTTTCATAAAAGACTTAACAATATTAGTTTTCGCTTTAATAGCTTCAGTTTGCCATAGTTGCTTCAAAAGAGACGGAAATCTGTTTTTGTTGATGGTTTTGTTAGGTCCTTTTCCCGTTTTCTTTATCATTCTTATTCCTTTCTTTTCAAAACCAAACAAGCGAATGAATCTACAAACAAGAAAAACAACAAAGAATGTAATTCTCTCTCTTTCTCTTATTCCATTCTTTATCGTCCGTTATCCATGATGAAAGAGCCA